GATAAGGGTTTATCAACTTTATTTAATCTTTCAAAGAACCAACTTTTTGATTCATTGATTCTTTGTATTATTTTTAGTGTCCAATGCATTAATTTCTACTCTGATCTTTATAATTTCTTCCCTCATATGAGCTTTTTGGTTTAGCCTGCTCTTCTTTTTCTGGAAGTTTGAGGCACATCATTAAGTTGTTTATTTGAGCTCGCTCTGTTTTCCTGATATTGGCATTCACTGCTATAAATTTCTGTTTTAGGACTGCTTCCATTGTGTCCCATAAGTTCCGGTATGTTGTACTGTCATTATCATTTAATTCCAGAAACTGTCTAATTTCTTCTTTTTTTTTTATTTTAAAGAATAAAAGAAGGATAACATAATAATAGGGGGGACTTAGCAAATTACAGACAAAATGGTAGGAAATTATCAATGGTTATCATTTTACATATTATTGTCTACAAAATAGTAATTTCTTCTTTAATTTCATCTGTGACCCATTGGTTGTTCAGGAGGGTGCGATTTAATTTCCATGTGTTTATGAAGTTCTTGTGGTTTCTGTTGCCATTGATTTCCAATTTCATTGCACTATGGTCTAATAGTATGCATGGGATCGTTTCAATTCCTTTGCATTTACTTACACATGTTCTGTGAGCTAGTATGTAGTCTATTTTGGAGAACATCCCATGTACAGCTGAGAAGAATGTGTATTCTGATGTTGTGGAGTAGAACACTCTGTAAACATCTACTAAGTCCATTTGTTCAAATTTTGGTTCAGTTCTAATATTTTGTGGTTAATTTTTTGTCTAGTTGATCTGTCTTTTTGTGACAGTGGGGTATTAAGATCCTCTAATACTATTAAATTAGTTCTTATTTGATTTTTCATGTCCATTAATATTTGTTTTGTACAGTTGGGTGTACTGATATTTGTTGCATATATATTTATGATTGTTACCTCTTCCTCTTGGGTTGTTCTCTTTACAAGGATACAGTGACCTTTATCCCTCTTAAACAGTCTTGGCTTGAAATTTACTTTGTCTGCAAAGAGAATAGCTACCCATACTTTTTTTCTGGGTTCCTGTCACATGGAGTATTATTTTCCATCCTTTGACTTTCAGTCTATGATTTTATTTTTTAATTAAATGTGTGTGTTTCTTTCTTTCTTTTTTTTTTTTTTTTTTTTTTTTTTTTTTTTTTTTTTTGTCTTTTTGAGACAAGATCTCACTATGCAGTTCAGGCTGGCCTTGTGCTCACTTTGTAGCCCAGGCTGGACTTCAACTCACAATGATTCTCCTACCTCAGCCTCCCAAGTGCTGGGATTACAGGCATGTGCCACCAAACCCGGTGTTTTAAAAGTGTTTGTTATATGCAGCCTATTGTTGGATCTTGCTTTTTGATTGATTCTGCAAGTTTGTGTCTTTTGAATTGAGACCATTAACATTGATGGTTACAGTTGCTATGTATTGATTTGTCCTTATCATGTTATTTTCCTGTTGTTGGCTCCTCCCCTTTTCCCTCCCTCTGTTCAGTTGTTTGCCTTGCCTGGTGGGTTCCTTCTGTTGAGGTTCATGGACTTGCAGTCCTTGTTATCTCTTTCTAGAATGTTCTTCAAAACAATTTGAATTGCTAGTTTGGTAGTCATTAATTTCCTCAGTTGTTCTTTTTCATGGAAGTATCTTATTTCTCCATCAGTTTTCAAAGTTAGTTTTGTGAGGTGCATCAATCTGGGCTGGAGGTTCTTTTCCTTTAGAACTTGAAATACTTCATTCCAAGCTCTTTATGACTTGTGGGTTTGCATTGAGAAGTGTTCTGTGATTCCAATGGGGTTTCCTTTATAGGTGATTTGTTTCATTTCTGTAACAGCTTTTAAAATTCTATTCTTGTGCTGAATTTCTGGAATCTTGGCTATGATATGCCAGAATATAAATTTTTTTGGATTGTGACTAATTGGAGTTCTCTATGCCTCACTTTTCTGTATGTCAAATTCTCTTTCTCTACTAGGAAAGTTTTCTGCCATGATGTCTGTGAACAGATTTTTAATATCATTTGTGCTATCTCCTGCTTTTTCATTGACTCCAATCAATCTGAAGTTATTCTGCTTTGCCTCACCCAGCAGCTACTGGATTGATTTCTCATGGCCCCTTGCTATTTTTGAGAAATCTTTCTTTTCATGATTGCTAACCACAACTTGTCTTCTATATCTGAGATCCTGTCCTCACATTGGCCTAATCTACTGCAGATACTTTCAATGGAATTTTTATTCTCCTGGATATCTGCTTGAATCTGCCTTATGGATTCCATTTCTTTCCTATGCAGAGTATTCATGGCTTCCATAATTTTCTTAAACTCCTCTATTTTTTTAAATCTGGATCTGCTCTAAAGTCACCAAACATGGTTTTCATTGTGGACACCATCTCTGCAGTTATCTGATAAATTATTTCTGATTTGATTTTTTTCTAGCACCTCATTCAATTGCTTTGTTGTTACCACTTCAGAGAGGCCAGGTGGGTGGCTTTCAGATTGTCCCACCTCATTGCCCCTTGAGTTTGTCTTTGGTGAGCTGGATGTCTGGAGTTGCATCTTGCTTAAGTGTCTTCTCATTTTCTTTTCTCTTTTAGTTTAATTCCTGGGGTCATGCTTGTAAATTGCCTATGGTAGGTTGCTTTATTGCTAGCATTTAGAACCCTTAGGAAATAACTACTTCTCTGAGGTATCTTCCAGATGTAGCTGGTTTTTAGGTTTTGAGTCTGTTGCAAGATCCAACCTCTTCAATTTGTTGGGGATGAAAAGTTGCTGCCTTTTTTTGGCCCAGCTCCTGATTCTCTGGCACTGTGCCACAGTATTTTCTGTGACCCTTAGTCAATCTCAGTCTTTTTGTGTGTGTGTGCGTGTGTGTGTACCAGGATTTGAACTCAGGACCTTGCGCTTGCCAGGCAGGCACTTGTACCACTGAGCTATATCCCCAGGCCAGTCTCAGTCTTAGAATACCAGGAAGAACAGTTATTTAGAACAATTATGTCACTTTTGGCTATAATGGTACCATCAGCAATAACAATAGCATCAAACACAACCTAGAATGTGATAAACTGAGGTAACCATTAATTTGCCACCTTTAACTATATGAACTAGATTTGTGGTTATATAACAAACTCTAAAACAAACCAGAAAATTATATGTAGTATATAAGTTCTTAATATGTCAATTTCTCCCTCAGAGGTTAAAATTTAAAATGGGTTCGGGAGAAAATAGAGAAGTGGAAGAAAAGGAAGAGATTAGAAGTAAGGCTGGAAGACAAAGGGGGATCACACTAACTTTGGGAAACTGGCGCAGAACACTGGAGGGAAAGACAGAAAGAAGAGGTTTTTTAAAAAGAACAGTACAGAACCACAACCACAGAAAAGCTAAAAACCACATTCACATTTGTATAAAAAAGATCAAACAATAAAGGAGAAAAAAAAACCCACAACAGCAACAACAACAAAAACAAGAGAGAGAGGGAAAAAAAAGTCCACTTCCAGCTTTGTCTCTGCTGTCACTGATAGGCAACATGGAGACAGAGTCTTGATCTGTGTTAATTTATCCCAGCAAGCCAGCACTAGCTTTTTGTCAGGGTAGTGGATAATCTCAGTGAGCCTGCACCTTGAGGCCAAGACCAGACTCATTTGGACTGCATCCATGAGCACACCTTCCATGGGCCTGAACTCGGCTGGGAGCCCCGAGAAAGAGGCAGCAGCCACTCTGAGTTCTGAGCACAGTGGCTCCTCTCCAAGATAGCTCCCAGCCAATTGCTCTGTCCCACATGTGATGACTGAGCCCTAGACTCTCACTGCCAGCTAGTGCAGTCCTTCATGTCCATTGCTCCCCTCCACTGCTGCATCTCTCCATGGAGGCCTCTGGGGTCACCAGCAGTCACCATGTGCCCACAGGTTTGAACCACTCCTCTCACACAGTGAGTCCCATCTCAGGGAGAAGACACTGCTGACTACCTCCTTCTTCATTGAAGTTTCTTTCTTCACTCTCCCTGTGGGCTTTAATTTGTACTTCAGATCCTTCCTGGGTCCAGGAGACCCACTTCCCTCCTTTTAGTCTTTCTCACATTGTTATATTCCAGCATCTGGATGGTGACTCTCAGAGAGGCTCTTTCTGTGCTGCCTACCACTCCACCATCTTGGTGCTCCCTTCTCTTACTAGTATTCTTGGAACATACTACCAATAGGTAAAAAGGGCACGACCTCTGCTGATTTGCCTTACTACCTATTTCAACCAGGAGATGGGTCCATCAAAGATTTGAAAGAAACCACACTGTCTTAGTTATTTTATTTTGCTGGGACAAAATACCCCACATCCACAAATTAAAGAGGAAGAAGTTTATCTGGGCTCACAATTTTTAGAGGTTTCAGTCCACAGTTGGCTGGCTCAAAGTCAGGGTGGTATGGCAGAGGAGAGACAGTCCATGGCAGGGCAGGCAAGAAGCAGAGAGGAATCAAGGGAGGAGGAGAGAGATATGCCCTTCTAGGCCACACCCTAGTGACTCACCTCTTCCCAGTAGGCTTCACCTCCCAATATCATCAGTGAACTAATCCACTGATGGAATCACACTGCTATGATCCAATCATTTTCCCCAAGTCTCACCTATAAGAGCATGAGGCTTTGTGGGGACATACAGATATAAACCATAACATACACTCATACATAAACACACACACACACACACACACACACACACACACACACAAATTGAGTTGGAGGGATCAGATGAAAGGGCTGCTGAGCACCACCATGCCATCAGAATCAAAGAAAACCCCTCCTGGACTCACACACACCACACCAAACCCCACCCAGATGAGCTTCCCAGTCATCTGGGAGAGCATCCCTATGGATGACTTTGAAGGATTTCCCCTTACAAAAATTGTGCTGGGGCTTTTTTTCTTCTGTTCTTTCATTCCCATTTGAATCTATGTTCTTCTCCCTTTGCAGTTACTCAGCTACTAAACTATTTCTTTTCTCTGCAGCCAATAACTCAACAGTGAAAATGAAGGAGTTCTGGATTTGCCACCCTAAAACATGTCAGTCTGACATACTGAGTCTTTTGAGGTAAAGACACTGGAAAAATAGCAAATAGGTCATTCTGTTCTTCTTTCTTCTCAAAAGCAAAGCTTGAAATTTCCTTATGGAAGAATCTGCTATGGCTTGAATATGTTTTTTTTTTTTTTTTTACCAAAATGTACATTCAGATTTAACTGTCACCATATATTGGGGCTCTGAAGAGTGTTATGGATTAATGCTTATCTTGTGGGGATGGGGGGGCAGAGTAGTTATCATGGGACGCCGGTTCTCTCTGGCACACATGCTTCCTTTCATAAGAGCCTGTGTGCCCTTTTTGTCATGAAACCCCCAGCAGAAACAAAGCAGATTGTAATGCCATGCTTCTGCACTTCCAGAACCACGAGCCAAAATAAACCTCTTCCCTTTATAAATTGCCCAGTTTCAGGTGTTCTGGTACAGGAATAGAAAACTGAAGACAGAAGGGAAATCTGTGCCAACATAGCTTATAAAACTAACCCTCACTTTTCTAGTCACTTCTCTGCCACTGAAAGGGAAATTAAAATTTTAAATAAAGCGTGCCAAGAGTGCCTGCCAAAACCAGATGGACATGTCCAGAAAAGTCTGATAATGGGACATTTCTTCCTTTGTGCAACCCATACTTGTTTAACTGATGGCCTTGCAGTGTAATTTCAATGTAATAGGACATTTCTTCCTTTGTGTAACCCAACTTGAGATGTTTAAATTCCCTTAGTAACCCGTGATGTCACCCAACCTTCCAATCACAATGTGCCAAATCTGCCTTTGTACCGCCCCACTTGCCCTCCCTATAAAAGTCCCAGAACCCTGCTAGGCAGGGCTGACAGAGATCCCAGTCAGGCCCACCAGTGTAATAAACTGCCTCCTAAACCTTCTTGGTGCCTTTTCTTCCCACGTTTGGTCTGTTTTCGGTAATACCAGAGTAACAGTAATTTTGGCTTTGTTCCTCTTCACAATTTTTTGTTCTGTGTCCCAGTTACAGATGTTCAATACTAACTGCAGTTGAGTCTTCATTTTCTTATAAAGGTTCCTGTGCCATGTTGGGGTTGTATTACATTTGAATTTTTTTCTCTGTTGATGTCTCTCAATGTATTTCACAGGCCTAGCCAAAACAAAAAACAAAACAAAACAAAAAGACACCTCGGAAAGGTCAGAGATAAAATCTTGCCTCCTCTGTGGTTCTGTTTCTCTGGAGAATCCCAACAAGTTCAACAGTGTGGTTTGTGTGCTCACGGTGAACCAAAAATCCTAACTCAGCTGAACAGCAGGGTGACCCTCACTGGCCATGCATGGACTGGAGCTGCTCAGCTCCCCTGCCAAGTCCACGATGGGACGGACAGTCCTCTCACCTGCCAGCCCAGTCAGTGCCTCTCCAGCTTCTGCTGCTGGGTGCCGGCTGGTCTAGTTCAAGTAGACGAAGCTTCCTCCCTTGCTGGACTGGACTCCTCCTCCAGGGCAATGATCTGGAGGATCTCTCTTCTTTTTTCTCCCTCCTCCCACCTCCCTACTCTTCCTATTTCTGAAATTTAGGAAACTCAGACTTCACCAAAGGCTCCAGAAAGACCCCGTGTCCCTGGGTACACCCTCTGCTCCTCTCTCCCCAGCCCATCATGGGAGGGTCCCAGAGTTCTCTCCCTATGAAACACAGTGCTCACAGCCCAGCTTTGGTCTTAGAAAATTTATTGGTGCTGGGAAAAGGGAGGTGAGCAGCCCTCGCTCTTCTAAGGACCCCACGAGACTTCACTGTTTGCCGTTCCCGTTGATGGGCCGGTTCACATGGTCTGGGGAGGCCAGGAAGGCCTTGAGCTTGGGCCGGGCACTGAGGCGTGCCACGTAGGCCGAGAGCAGGGGGAATTCATCCAGGCAGCCGGGGGCCAGGACCTGGTGGTTCAGCAGCAAGTCCAGCAGGTTGTAGTCGGCAAAGGAGATCTACAGGTCAGGGGGTCAAGGTGTCAGTCAATGGGGGCGGGCTAGGGGTAGGGGAAGGGGAGTGGGGGGCAGAGAAGCTGAGCCCACCCCCTAGGTCTGTCCTACTTTGCCATAGGAATGACTCAGATCTGTTTCCATCTATGAGGAGAGGACGGCATGGAAGGACACAGGTGGGGCAGACTCACCTGGCCACCCACGATGAAAGCCTTGCCCCCCTGGTTCTGGGACAGCAGAGTCTCAAAAGGTTTCAGGTGCCCAGGCAGGGCCTTCACATAGTCACTCTTGCCCGCGTCCTGTAGAAGGATGCCAAGGCTGTGCGTTCTCCTCCTACCCTCCCAGCATGAGGCCCTGCTCCATGCGAGACACGCCCCATTCCTCTGCCCACCTTGGAGACCCTAGGAGCCCGGAATGCGCCTGTTTGCCCCCGACACCCACCCCATTACCAAGCCCTGCCCACATGAGCTGCTCCCTCACCCATTCTACCTTTCCATCCTTGCTAGGATCTCCTAGCAGATTACTGCAAAAACCTCAGAGGCGGCTCCTCTGAGGGTGTTTCCGGACCTTACGTTCAGACATAGCCTTGCTCAGTCTCTTCAGTGGCCTTCCCTACTCTCGGGAAAGTCCACACCAGAAGGTTCAAGACCTTAAGGACCTGGCCTCCTCCCCACCTCTACAGCCACACCGACACACCTGTACACACACACTCGCATGCACACACTCTGCCCCTGCTAATTGGCCGCAGGTCCCAGGTGAGCTCAGACCTGCACCCAGTGCCCACCTAAAATTACCAGCACCTCATCCCAGAAACTGGTACAGATTCCCCTCCTCAGGCAGCCATGGGGAGCCACCTGTTGCTGGAGCGTGGCCCTAACAGCCTAACCAAGGAAAGGGCCAACCAGAGCCGTGTGAGGGCCAGGATGAGGGCACAAGAGCCCCCTCTTTCATTCATCCCCACAGTGTCCCCTCTCAGGTGCTCAGGCTCACGTAGTTGGTGTAGATGAGGGTAACATATTTGCAGCGGAGATCCTCCACCCCGTCGTTCACCACATCCACCAGGGCTGCTTCCCGCTGGTCCTTCCCATAGAGCCCTGGGGGCCGGGAGAGTACACAGCATGACTAGCACCTGATCTAGCACCCCCCAGCCCAGGCATGTGGCTGTCTTCGGGTCACAGTCTGCGGGGAGCAGAAGTAGGGTGGAAAGGGAGGGGGAGCCTAACACACAGCTGGTACTCAGAGCTCGTGAGACACTGCCTGGCACAGGGCCGGGCAGAGGACTGGGCCTGCACCGTGGATGAGCAGGGTAACCTGTGTGTCTCTGCTTCTACTCTGGACTGGACTGAAATGGGTGAGGCCTTGAAAGCAGATGCTCAGGGTCATGGCTGATGCCTACCCGCTGCCTGAACTACCCAGGGCCTCAGGACTCACCGAGGGAGCGGCCCAGGTGGCGCAGGATGGCGTTGGACTGGTACAGAGTGAGGTCTCCGTCCTGGAACTTGGGGAGCTGCCCATATAGCTGCAGGGGAGAGGAGTTCAGCTCTGTGAGGGAGATAAGCTTGGCTGCCCTTGACCTCCTCACAGTCCCCTAAGGCCTGACCCTTCCCCCACCAGGGTGCAGTCACTCACACAGGAAGCTTTGAGCTGGCCCTGCATCCAGGTCTCCATGGTCACCACCTCCTCCTTCCAGCTCTGGCCCTGGTCAGCCAGGAGCATGCGCATGGCCTCACAGCGCCCTGGGTGTAGCGGACAGGGGTGTGAGGAAAGTGTGAGACCCAGCCTCGCAGCAATCCAGGAAGGGGTGCGTGCTGAGGGTAGGTGACGTGGGAACAAAGACTCCCGATGACCAGGTGACCAGGGGCGGCAAAGGAGGCCTGGGATCACATCCACAAGTAGGAGGTCCAAGGCTGGGCTGGGGTCCTCCCCCAAGGGGATGGGGGTACGCGGGCTGCAGCCCCCATGCCTTTGCCTCCCTCCCTCCAGGCTCAGCCTCCTACCTCGAACCGGGAAGTACACGATGGTGTAGGGCGCCACTAAGGGGAACAAAAGAAGACTGTTAAGAGTCTGGAGAGCGGAACCCGGCGCGCCGCACTAGCCCGCCCTGGGGTCCGGTCCCAGTCTGGGCGCTCTGGGCCCCCAACTCCGCCCAGGGTTCCCAATCGCCGTCCCAAAGCCGCAGGCGGCCTGCCTTTTGCAGGTAACTCTGAATCCCCCAGGAGTGCGGGCACCGCGCCAGCCGCGCAAGGGGATCCCTCGGAGGCCTTGCGGCGCCGACTCACTGCCTGCTGCGTAGACCGCGGCTTGAACTCTGCAGACGGCAGCTGCAGCGTAGAGCTCGGTGGCAGCGGAGCTCGGGCGGAGGCCTCGCGGATGCGAGGCCTTATAAAGGATGTTCGAAAAAAAGGGGGAGTTGCCCCGCCCCGCTCCGCCCCCGATGCTGAGTCATCGCGCGAGCCACCTTCTCCTGGCCGCGACACTAACCCGGGAGTCTTCCGCCTTTTGCAGGGACCCCGGTTTCCGAGTCAGGCATCGAAAGTGCAGTAGCCCTTTCAAAAATAACACCCACTTTCCCAATACGCACTGCCCTGTATATGCACACAACTCTTCCACAGACTCACTGTCTCGCACAAACACATACTCATGCAAAACTATTCAAACTTTCACGAATTGATCTCTCTCTCTCTCTCTCTCTCTCTCTCTCTCTCTCTCTCACACACACACACACACACACACACACAGTGGGAGGATCTCACCAGGCAGCACAGAGACCTTCTGCTCTGGGCCAGGGGCAGCCAGACACATCCCACCGCCCCACCACTCCACCCCTCCAACACTCTGTCCTTTGGCTATTTGTCCTGCCTGTTTTGGGGGTCTTTCCTGTGTAAGCCGGGGCCTGAGTCTGGACTACTAAAGCAGAAGGTGGGGTAAGCATAGGTGCCTTCTCTCCCTGCCACCAACCCTGCTGCTGTCCTAGCCAGGGTCTCTGGCTTCCTCTCACCACTCTCACTCTGGCCATTTCAAGTGAACTCAGCCTCCCTGTCCACCCTGGAATGTGTAGGAACATTTCCCAGCTCTACCTGTGTCCCTGTGCCCAGTGGACCGTGAGATATTTCCATGGGTCTTACAACTTGTCGGTCGCTTCCCTGCTTGCAGTGCTGCCCTGGCCCCTTCTGCCACATGCAAGAGACAGCAGGTGTGTGAGAGCCTGTAGGTATGTGAGGGTGCTCCTCTCTCCCTAGTCCATTGCATAGCTGGTCTGGACAGGGACCCCTCTTAATTGTATGCATTCATTTCCAAATTCCTTCTGTCCCACATGCCACTCCCCAGCCATTCTGCAGGTGTCTGGGAAGCCTGCATCCCAGGTGTACATACACTCAATTTGCATAGCAGAGCCAGTCTGACAGACCACACTATCAGCTGTGGCCACATTTCTCATTACTAAGGGTTTGGATCCCGTCTTCCTGTGCCTATTGGATTTTGTTTTTCTCCTCTGGAATGTGCCTGCACATGACCTTGGGCCGTGTTTTTTGGAGTTCCAGCTTACTTTCTTTTTTCTTTCTTTCAGTTTTTTGGAGACAGGGTCTCGCTATGCAGTTCAGGCTGGCCTTGAACTCACTATGTAGCCCAGGCTAGCCTCCAATTCGCAGCAATCCTCCTGCCTCAGCCTCCCGGGTGCTGAGATTACAAGTGTGTGTCACCACACCTGGCTCAGGTCACTTTCTGTTGGTTTGCTAAATATCTTCATTTATTGTAGGTATTAATCTCTTATTGGCTGTAGACATTACAAACACCTTTTTCTCCTCTGTTAACTATGACTTAACTTTGCTTAACATAGCTTTCATTTTTAAAAAACTCCATAATTTTAGCCTAATCAAATGAATCAAGGTTCTCAATTCTTTCTTTCCTTCCAGGAGGTGGGGATTAGTAGTGACATGTTGGCTTTGAGCCTTTA